AATGAAAATGTATCGAGGTTATATGTGTGTGTGTGTTAGATAAGACTCATTGCCATGTTAGATAAGGCTTAGACTGAAATTCTACCGCTCAGCTATTGTTTGGTCTCATCATTCGGTTCTAGTAGTTGTTTTTGTTTTGTTTATCGGGCATGTAGCAAATTTCCCAAGCAGAAAATCGGATTTGTTCTATTGTTTTGTTGAAAGGAAGAAAACGAAGATTTGTCCAGTTTTTTTTCGGGGCTTAAAGAATAAAATTTGTTGAACATTCAATTGGACATATAATGGAATTTGAAAAAGCATCTCGTTTAGACAGAAGGCAACTGGTGAAAAAATGTACAAAGTACAGACAGAAGAAAAAATGTATTGACCAAAGTTCTGTAGGGTTTAAAGAAATCGACATCGAAAACTTTATATACTAAACATGTTTATGCGAAATCATAAATTTCATATTCATCTCAGGTTTCTGGTTGAGAGAAATATTTAGATAAAGCAAGTTGTTAAGAATCGCTATATTGTTTCGCAATTTCGGTCCGATCTCTACCATCTTTATAACAGACTTTGTATTGATGGAAATATTGAGATGTAACAAGTCTGAATGGAATCGCATGTTAGTCTTGAGTCTTATGAGTTTTATTGTTATTCAAAACTATGACCCTATTGTGGATGAGGTACCAGAGAATGGACCGATATACAGGGTGAGATAAAAAACTGCAACAAAGTCAAAAGCTATAATTTTTACATATTTTGTTTTTAAATTTTATTCAATGAAACCAAAAATTGTCGGAAATAGCATCAAATTTTAGAATAAGTTTGGATTTGTTCGAATTGGTCACCTTTGGCACCAATTATGGCCTTCAAACGACACACGCTGCCCAAAAGTTACTCTGCGGTATTTTGGCCCATTCCCGGCGAAGCTCTTGCTTGATGTGATCGACACTTTGGTGTGTTTTTCTGCCAATCTAGCCAATCGGCTTTAATACACCCACCTCAGAATATTTTCGCGAAAATATTCGGCATTTATTCTGTTGCCACTTTCGGCCGAGCAAAGCAACTCTTTAGCTCTTTTGGGTCTATTTTGTTTCTGTTGCGGAAGGTACTTCATCGAGTGGACCAACATTGACCTAGCACTGATGCAAATATTATCTTTCTGGACAGTAAAATATTTTTTTTGACCCGCAAAGGTCAACATTTTCGTAGAAAATAATTTACTTCATAGAACAAGAAAGAATTATCCAGATTTTGAAAATCCTAATATTCGTATCAGTGCTACGTCGGGTGCGAAAATGGAAACTATCGATCACACTCCATCATGTGCCTTCCCAACAAAGGGTCATTGGCCCACTCCTTCGGTACCATCCCAAAAAAGGACAAACATTTTGAATAATCAAATATAAGTGGAATTATATATTTTTTATTAGATATAAGCTGAAGGCATATATCTTTCACTTGCTAAATGGTTTGACTTTCTTTCGACTTCATAATCGGTAATCACCCTCAAATGTTGGATAATCGGACAAAAATCTAAAAGTAAAGGTTTGACCTTATTTTTTTGTAAACTTTAATTTTCCAGAGAATATTTAAAATAAAACAAATGTGAACGAATTTTGCCGATAAGGGGAACTGCAATGATGTTATAGCTTGTCCAATGTGCAAAATATTTCCTAAATAATCTTTAACTATAATTATACTTAAGATAATTTAATTTCAAAATGTTGTTGAGACACTTGAATTTTATTTTGTAGAGGGGCTATAAATCTGAACACAAAATGTCGACGTTAACTAAAGTACCATTATAAACAATTTGCCACTTAAATATTACAGAAGTTCTATAAATTTGTCATTTTTTAGAGTATATTTAAGAATTCTATATACTCGTTTATTTCGCATTTTATCCGAAGGGCATCTATGGCAAGATCAGCGAAACATATATTAGAACTACATTTTAAACTAAAATGATTTTTTTTTTGTATGCAAGGACCTGTGACACAATTGCTAAGAATTGAACAATTTATTATATTAAAATTTACAATTACAGTATTTTCAGTTTTACTATAAATGTTTCATTAATCCAACCAAAATTTTATAAGCTACAATTAAATTATCGAAGACCCAAGTCGTTCTACATATCAGTGTTCATCAATTCAATCACTCAACAGATGTATATTTCATCAACAAAATTTTTATTTCATCGTCCAAAATATCTGTTTGTATGGTTAGCTAACGCACACGATAGCTCTTCAAACGAGAATCCGATTTTGTCCAAACTTTGCACATCCTGACTTAACTAGGACCACTTGTACCAGGTGGTAAAATATAAGAAATTACGAAGCGCATTTCGCATTTGTTCAAACTTTGAAGAACATAATATTGGTGCCTGTATCTCCCCGTACATGACAACACTTTCAAAAAATCAAATATCTCGTTAAAATCGATGGGTGTATCTGTTATGGTGGAAAATGATGATATTTATGTCAAGTTAGTTGAGGTGCGACTTCGGCAGTATCATTTGTATTCGGGCCTTTGCTCTAGTCTTCTAAAGAAGATTAAAAATTAGTGATCGACAGACTAGAATCTTAAAATTTTGCATGTGGGACAATGTTGGTGGACACGGACCAAATATATCTGGGTTTTTGGAACTATGGACTAGAAGTGTACTAAGACTACTAAAAATCACTAAATATCGTTCATTTTGGTATTATGTGAACGGATACAGCAAAAATCTTGACATTTGGTGTAAAAATTAATTTGGAAATAAATGGATATATAGGGGCGGTTTCGCCAATATCTACCATAATTGTGCATAAAGTACTGAATGCTACTACATTTCGTATTGTGTGCAGACATAGAGATTCAATTCTGGAATTTGATGACATATGGTGTCTGTTTTTATGGTTTGGCGGTGGTTTGGAAACGCGTCTTATACTTGTACGAGAAGTACTAAATGGTACCTAATGGATTGGATGGTGGTTGTGTCGTAATTGTACGAAAAGTACCAACTTTTACTAAATTTTTAACCGGAATCATTGAAATTTAAAATTTGGGGTACACAATGGGAACTATTTCCTATGACAGAAAATTGCCATTTCTCAAGGGAATTATTTCCAAGTTGGATATTTGAAATTTTATTTGGATATTTGGAAGTTTTGCAAGGTTATTTCAAACGTTGAAGTGATAAAATATTAAGTTCCCGGACGAAAAAACGGTTTAAGAAACTATGTCTACTTGGGCCAAATCCGCTTCACGTCATTTGGAGTCGATCTAGCGCTGTCCCTCCGTCTGTCTGGCTGGCTGCTGCTCACGATAACTTTTGAAGGGAGTATCCGATTTCGTCCAAAATTTGGTACATCGTAATATTTTTGCCAAACTTAGATAGAGTTTGGAGATGGGCATTTTCAAAAAAAAAAAAAAAAAAAAAAAAAAAAAAAAAAAAAAATGTGCACAGAAAGAGAAGCGATAATCCGATTTTGCTCCAACTTTGCTAATCCTAATATTTGCATCAGTTCTCGGTCAGGTGCAAAATGGATAATATCGGTTCACTCCATCAAGTACCTCCTCCACAAAGGGTCAGCATTTTAAATATCCATGATGCTTATAAAACGCGAAATTAACATCCGATTCCATTAAGACTTAATACATCTCAATATTTCCATCAACGCAAGATCTTTTATATACATGGTAGAGATCGCATCATTTTTTCTGGCACTTCCCCACATATTGTTAAAGCTTTTGATAAACAAGCCGATCAAAGAAAGCGAAATAAAAGGTATATTTCTGCGAAGCCCATCTGGTATCTCACCCATAAAGGATTTTTTATACAAGTTTTATTGCTTTTATTTGTCGTTACTTGCGAAACAAGTCAGTGATTCTTTAAAACTTCCTATGCCTAAATATTTCTCTCAACCTGAAACCTGATATGAATATGAAATTTATAGGAATTTGAGATTTTGCATAAAATTAGATATAAATGTTCAATTTTTTTTGTAATTTTGCCCATATTAGTATTTTTATTTGTATTAGATGAAGTATAAAAATGGAATACTTCGGTTTATTGGTACATCACGCACATTTTAAAATGTTCTTAAAATTTTGAAAGATTTCATATAAAGTGAAGAAAGTAACCAATATAGTCCAAACTTGGCATGTCGCAGTATTTATGTGGTATTTATTTTGTTCCGATACGAAATTGACAATTTTGGTCCATTCATAGATGGTCAACAATTTGAGTAATCATAACACAAGTCCGAATATAGTTAAATAATCGAACATAGGCTGAGGGTATACATCTGCCGGAAAACCCGACTGATACTTTTTAACTTGTTTTTTTCTTAAATTCAATATGTTTTGTTCTTGAATAGTGTACCCATTATGTACCTGACATTTCCCATTGTGTGGCGCCGAGCGTCAATGTCAGTTGAAATTATGGCACATACAAAAAAAAAAAAAAAAACGTACAGAGGCATTGGAAAATCAAATAACAATTCATATCAATTGAATGTAAGAAACGATTATCTACACTTCGACTCTATCGAAAAACAAAACACCTAATCGTGGCGGAATGTTTTTTTGAGTAGAGCTGTCAAAACTAGACGACATTGTTTTTTTTTCGGAAAGATAAGTATTTTGGACAATAACTAAAAACAATCGCAAAATGTGTACGTTTATAAAGCCATTTGTAATAGAGGTGTTTTTTGAAAGGAGGATGAAAAGTTGTGACAAAGCAATGGAATATTCTTAATTTTTAAAATTAAGTTTTTAATGTTTTGTAGATTTTTAATTCGTAATTGAAATTTTCGAAACATATTTTTTTAAAAATATTTTTTTAATAATCATACGATAACAAATTTTATCATCATCTACATTTGTACAGGTTTTATTTTTCAATTCTATAAACATTCAAAATTTTATTGAATTGGGAAAATAGATTTTAATTTTTTTTTTCGAATTACGTTTAAAATACTACAACCTAATTTTTTATTATTCCACATAAAAAAACAGTAGGATTATATTTATTATTCATTTATTATTTTTTTCATTTAATTGAGCCTTTTTTTAAATCACGCATCATCAACACAACCACGAATACGACGCCACTGGGACCATTCGAAACAACCCAAATATCCATCTTGACTAACAAAAGCCTTGTTTTCCGTGCAGGTCAAGACAATGGGTTCAGCTCCACTGGCGGGACACAAATAGAATTTTGTGGGATCTTCATGGGGTTGAGGCTGGGTAACACTGGCGCCCAAACACGATGGTGGCTCCGTATGATAAATGCAATTGTCGTCCACTAAATCCACGGGAACACATCCAGAGACGGTGGCATTTTTCACAAAGAATGTACCGGGATCACAGCTCTGCTCAAAGGCCATATTGTTGCCGAGACAGAAATAGTATTTGGTACCATCCTCAGAGCCCCATAATTCAGTTTCCGATTTACAACCCTCGATCACGTTGCGTTCGTTAAGTCTGACAACTGCTGCAGCTGCAGTCAAGACCAGGAGGCTGCCCAAAAGCAGAGTAACTAAAAATCCAAAGAGAATTTTGAGGGGTAATTAACAGTTCCACTTTTTAGTCATTTTTATTTCACACACACATACACACACAGACACACACCTTTAATCATTGTTTAGACGTCCGTTCTGCGTACCGTAACGGCAATCAATTGTTATTTAAGACGTTTCAAAAGACCAACTGTTTTGGCATTCTTTTCGACACTTATTTTTATAACTTTTTTATGAATCCAATGTCAACTCAGCCACAAAATAGAACAAAAACAACACCAAAATAACCCAAATTATAGATTTGGCTGACTTATCTAACTTGTGGGTTGACTAGTTAACTTGACTGTGCGATTTTGTGATTTTTATTGGCAAAACTCTTTTACTAGATTCCCCCCGCTGCCGTACTATCAGTGGGCGTCATTCAGTTTCTTGTCATTCAGCTTTTACCTGCCGCCCCACTATCGATTCCATTCGGCGTTGCCTGACTTTCATCATCTAATCTGATGTTTCCGTTATAGTTTGGCTTTTAATTTCAATTGTTTTTCACGGAATTTGATAACAGAACGAAAATTGACATTTAATTGTGTTAATCGTCGCCTTCATCATCCTCTCTTGGATGATTGAAAAAAATATGCACACTTCTGTTAATAATAATGATTTAAGTTTTGAGATTTTTCATTAACAGTTAATGTGGAATCATTGGGAATTTTTAGATAATTACTATGGTAATTGTCTTTTAAGGAATTCTGCAAAAGTATCAAATAAATCGTTCAAAATTGTATGGATGCCAACAATTTAAAAATTAAGCAAATTACCCTCAATTTCATACTTTATACCAATACAAATTTTTGATGTCACAGATTTCCCATTTTTTGTATTCTTAATCGAGCTTAGGAGGGTATATTAAGCAGACCTCCAAAAAACCCGCTCGAATTCGAGTAAAGAGAGAAATTCGCTCGAATTAGAGCGAGAGTACTCCTGGAAGTAGAAAAACAAACAGTACAAGTAAAAAAAATATTAAGTTTGGTCAGGCCGAAAATTTTTGGGTAAAGATAATATTTTTATATAAAAGTATCTGGATTCAAACGTGTTCCATTTTAAACTAAAAAATCCCTGTATGACCGTTTGGATAATGCTATTAAACTTAAAAAAAAAGAAACATAAGGTGAGTGAGGCCATTGTATGAGGGCCATACCTCTATAAACTTAAATAACTTCAAGGATTGTCATCTACCAAATCTTTTAAAATACGACTAGGATTATCAAAATATCGAATATCGGCGGGTATCGTTATATGTGCGCTACATAAAAACGTGGACCTATACATAAAATATTTCGGCACCGGAGCTATGAAGAACCCTTAATGACCTACAAATAACAATTTTAGAATTTAGAAAAATCCGTGAAAAAATGTGGCGAAAATTGTCAGAATACCGAATATCAGGAGGTACAAAAACGTGGACCGATATGTCTCATTTTCAATACCAACCATCCTAGACGAAATACAAATTTTGAAGCTCTACATCAACTTATGTGACGGACTGCGTTTGTTGGTTCGGGCTGAACTTTTAATATCCTTCACCAAAATATCGGCCCTTCGTCGAAAAATATCGGCTAAATGAAAACCCTTATATGGGGGGTGTACGAAGGAGAGGACCTGCATAAGTAATTTTTGTCATTGACTGTAACAACGATTCCGAACTAAAAATACGAAATATGAATAAAGGTGATACCGTTATATGTGGACTATACGAAGACGTGAACCTGTATACGCAATTTTTTGTCATAGTCTGTAGTACCCATTAAGATCTTCCAATACGAAATTTGAAATAATTTCGGCAAATAAGTTGCTAATGTCAAAATAACGCACATTGAGAGGTACTGTACCGACATTACCCATTTACGAACTAAACCTGCCTACAGGCAAAATACACATGTGTGCAAGATTTTAGCCTTCTATCTCAATTCTTTCGAAAGATAGGGTGATTATGTTGATCAAGATTATATATAGGGTGAGATAAAAAAACTACAACAAAGTCAAACCGCATAATTTTTAAATTTTATTGAATGAAAACAAAAAAATCAAAAATAGCATCAAATTTTAGAATAAGTTAAGATTTGAATTGGTTACCTTTGGCACGAATTGACACGGCCAATGTTGATCTGCGGTATTTTTATCCATTCCCGGCGAAGCGCTTGATTGAGCAGATCGACACTTTTTCTATTTTTTAGTGCTTTACAAAATACTCCAGACACAATAGTGAAACGGATTGGTATCCGGAGATTTTGGTAGCGCTGGAAATGAAGCGAGGAACCTCATTTTGTAACCATTCTTGGGTGGCGCGTGCTGAGTCCTGTTGGAATGTCCAAGGACTGCTTTAATACACCCTCCAGAATATTTTCGCGAATATTGTCGCTTCCAGAATATTTTCGCTTTCTTCCGTCCACTTCCTTGACGCGTAGCGTAGCCCCTACCAGTATCACGGTAACGAGCGATGGTACAAGACACAGAGGATTTATTCACATTTAAATGCTGGAGTGCTCTAACGATAGCCCCTTGTGGTTTTCCAGCCAAATATAAAAAATCACACTATCACGCTTGAATTCCATCTGGAAAATTAACAGCAAAATTCTCCCTCCAGAATATTTTCGCGAATATTGTCGCTTCCAGAATATTTTCGCTTTCTTCCGTCCACTTCCTTGACGCGTAGCGTAGCCCCTACCAGTATCACGGTAACGAGCGATGGTACAAGATTGTGGTTTTCCAGCCAAATATAAAAAATCACACTATCACGCTTGAATTCCATCTGGAAAATTAACAGCAAAATTCTTTCTAAACAATAAAATGAGCTGTCACTGGAATAATTTTAACGGCTGTCGGACGAGTGGCTTAGAAATGACAGCAGTCTGAAGTTGGTTGCATTTGTTTTTCATCTCTCCCTGTATATACCCTCCTTAGTATAGTGGATGGTATGATTTGCAAATTCTACTTTTCGATTTCGTCTGAGTAAGGTATTGTAGTGAAATCAAATATACCACCAAAATCGAAGCAAGTATCCTGACGGAAACCTCACACATCATGGTATTCGTCAGGTGGTTAGGTCAGGTACAGAAAATCGATATATCTGGTGACAAAATGGGATTTATTGGCCCCCTTCGACTGGTGCCTTACCCAGAAAGGTTCAAAATTATCCAAAAGAGTCAAATACGTGAAAGGAAGTGAAGTGAGTGTCCGATGTAGTCCAAAACTCGAAAATATAACACAAAAATTCGCTGTTTATAATACCCAAAAACCTAGAGTTTTACAGTAGACACATTTGCAAAAATAATGCTTTTTGAATAAATTTATTATTTTGAGGGTGATTTTATGTAATTGGTACATTGGTAAAATCACACTTAAATAAAAGAAAATGCAGTAGTGCTTAAAAACCAGCTTTTAACACATATCTCTTCGTGGTACTTTGCATGTATTTCATCAGATAATTTATCAAATTAACATACATTAATGTAACAGTATTATTAGTTCACAAAAGTTCCTGACCATTATTCTTTAATTTGTAAATTTCAACCCAACTCTTTTCACGCTACTCTTCACATTTGCCAGCCACACTTTAAACTTTCCAAAAAATAACATAAATTACATTTCGAAATAATGCAACAACATACATGCGTTCAAACCATTTCATGTGTTCGCTCGTCTTTCGATATGGCCGAAAGAAAGAAGATAAACACGAAAGTAACGTTTAAACTCCATAAATCATATCAATTGTTATTGGCAGCGAGTAAGAGAAAAGCGAAAAAAACGCAATGGAATTACTGACCAAAAAGAGAACGAAATAAGGATGCACATATGTTGCATGTTCTCCTTTCGCCATTGCATTTTGCACTTGCCGAAAAAGAAATTATGCGGCGAAACGCTACGACATCATCTTTAAATATATTTTAAAACGCTGCATTAACGAACAAAATGAAATGGCTTAAGTGGCCACGGGGGCAATTTCTTCATGAGATTGTATTATTTAAATTCAATTTTTAAAGAAGGAGATGGTATAATTGATTGATCATACAAACAAACAACGACAAAGAGCAACAGGAAATAATGAGAACCAAATTTACAACAATGCTAGACTCACATCTAAACAAAATGAGAGATAGCTACAGAGACAAATTTATTAACACAACAGTGGCTCACAGCAAAACATTTTTGAAACAAAATAAAAATATTTTAATTTTAAATGCGGATAAGGGTAATGTGACAGTAGCAATGTATAAAGATGATTATCAACAAAGAATGAATGAGATATTAGGTGACATGATGACTTACCAACGATTAATTAAAGACCCCACATCTAACTTGTCCAAGAAAAACAAGGAACTCGTGGAAGAATTGTTTAAAAACAATATAATATCGACGGCAGAGAAAAAATGTCTGAAAACTGACGTGGCTATAGCACCAAGACTATACGGACTACCCAAAATTCATAAAGAAAATTTCCCCTTGAGACCTATATGCTCATCGGTTAACTCACCTTCAATACAATTATGCAAATATGTGGTAAATATTCTAAAAAATCTGACCAAAAACTCCAAATACAATGTAAGGGACTCGATGCAATTTAGAGATAAGATTAAAAACTTGACGATTAAAGACGAAGAGCAGATGGTCTCATTTGATGTTGTGTCACTTTTTCCAAGTATACCTGTGGACCTGGGACTAGAAATAATAGAGAAAAGATGGAACGAAATTGAGGAATACACCAAAATGTCAAAGAGCTTATTTTTAAGTATTCTAAAGTTTTGTATTAAAGATAATCGATATTTTAAATATGAGGGCAGAATATACAAACAAAAGAAAGGACTACCCATGGGTTCACCAGCTTCTCCGATTGTAGCTGATATAGTGATGGAGAAACTACTTGACACCTGCATGGAAAAACTTAAGACGAAACCTGTGATATTAACAAAGTATGTAGACGATTTATTTATGATTATTGGGGAAAATGCAATACAAGAAACATTGACGACTTTCAATAATTTCAACAAAAATATTAAATTTACCATTGAAAAGGAGCATAATGGTTCCATCCCATATCTGGACACACTTGTAATGAGAAAGGACAATAAAATAGAAATGAACTGGTATCAAAAACCGACGGCATCGAGTCGCATATTAAATTTCCACTCGAAACATCCAAAACAAATGATTATTAACACAGGTAGAAATCTTATAAACAGAATATTGAATATTAGCGACCATAAATTCCACGAAA